AAATATAATTTTGCATGTTTTTATTCATTATTACTTTTTTCAGTTTCTAGTTATTTGAGTGACTGTTGTAAATTTTGCCTTTTCTTTAATGGAAGGGTATGAATAAATTTGAGGACAACTGTATGTGGTGACTCCTCAGTCATCAACAACAGCAACCAGCCGTCTACGATCAATCTGTTAACAAAAAGCTAACAGCAACACCTGGTGGTGACCAACTCACAGTGCATCCTTGTACAGGACACATACTATACTACTGTGTGTTTAAACTGTCAGTGGTCGCAAAAGCACAAGGATTTTATTTCATTTATTGTATATTTTACTTTTTTTTATTGTAATCATAAACCGCTTATATAGACCATTGCAACTAAAAACAAAAAACAAAAAACAGAAATAAGTAAGAATAAGATGAAGATACACTTTCTTGCCCCTGTGGAAAATGTGGTACTGCCTCACACCCCTAATTGCCAGACTATAGTGCACAGCAATTAATACAAAGAGTCAAAATGTACAATGTGCAGAACTTTGTATAATCAACAAATAAACTTTAAAAAGAAATAAGTATATGTTGGTAAAAATGTAAACGAGTAGTCATGCACTCTTAAATAGATAACATAAAAATGTAATGGAAAAAATGAAACCAGTTTTAATATTGCACATGCATATTTAAAGTATTTTCCTTCAAACAAATGAATTGGGATGTTCAATAAAAACACACAGTTGCTCAGCTCAGTTGCTTAATGGAGGCTGCAGATGCTGAAGAGAAATATGCTCTACCTCACATTTTAGGAATTACAGAGGTTAAACTGAGTCATAATAAAGGCAAGAATAAATGTAATTCCATAATAACTTTTCGTTGGAAACATGACAATCTGTATTGTACAAATTAGGCAATTTTCTTTGCACTATAAAAAAAAGAAGAAAGAAAAAAGTCAGAGACAACTGGGACACTGTGTAGTTTATTAAGTCATCTGTATTAATTGCCAGATTATTGATTTTCAGAAGCTCCAAGTCTTCAGTACTGCAGCATGGTCTGAAAAATATAAAAGATGGAATAAGACAATCCATGTGAATTCAGCCAACACAGTAAACATTCCCTTTGCAGGCCACATAAGAAAACTGCTCTTTCATTCTGAGGGACTGCATTGTAGATGTTAATGTTTTGCAATAGCTGTATGTGCTAGTTCTGCCGTTGCTCTGACATATTTGTGACCTTTGGTTTGCTGCACTTGTGTTGTTTTGGTGTATTCGTGATGTCGGTATTTGGTCTTATGTTTTCAGCTGTATTGTTGTTACTAACTTGAGTCATATCTGGAAGGTCCTTGAGAGCATTTTGACATGACAAATCTGATAAATTGCATTAATTCTGAGGTTTGTAACAAGAAGTGAAAGTGAAGTTTTCTTTACTTTAATCTTAGTTGAATGGCACAGAGCTCCCCACCACTATCAGCAAAACCCCACATGAAAGATTTTGTTTCCAAATGATGGTGGTCATCCCTTTAAAGAGAGATGTGAGGAATCTCTGACAATCTATGTCAGTCTATCACCTTAAGATACTTTGCTTTACAAAAATGAATCACCCATCTCGGTTCGTGTGTAGCTGTGACTTTTCTCTGGGTGGAAACTCACATCACTGATCCACTTGGTAAAGGAAGACGTGCGAGTGAACACGGTAGGCTTCATGAGAGTGTTACATCCTGCAGAAGAGACGAAGCTGGTCACTCCATGATTGTACCATCTGCCATCCCCGCCCCTGCAGTTCAGTGGTCCACCTGAATCTCCCTGAAGAGACAAAGGGGCAGAGGGCAAGTGAATGCAACACGCTGATAAAACAGGACCCCGTAGATGTTACTCTTGGTGGTGAAAAGCTACTTTCAGATCAGAATTTTGACTGCAGAACTTTGGTGTAAATAAGGCTTTGTGAATTGTTGTGTCATTTATTTTTGCTAAAATCATAATTCAGTTTTTTCTTGGTTTTGTAGAGATTCAGTCAGACTTGACAAGAAACTTTTAAATTGATATTAACAGCATTTTTCTCTGATATATGCTGTCTGCTGCAACTCATCATGTCCTCAGATCTCTACAATTGAGGTAAAAAGTGTAAAGTTAGCATGACCCATAGAGCCACAATAGACACATTATTTTGATATACAGTCATGAAAAAATTATTAGACCACCCTTGTTGTCTTCACTTTCTTGTTCATTTTAATGCCTGGTATTACTAAAGGT